GTACAAAAAAAAAATAATAATAAAATAATAGTTTATTGACATACAGAAACTAAACTCTTGACTCATAACGATCTCAGTATCGACTACAGTACCGTGCTTACAATTCTCGCCATTAAGTAGTTTAAACCTTAGAAAAAACAACTGTCTCGTTAAAAAAAGGTAATTTTGAATAAGCAATTTTACGAAAGTAATTTACCTGGCATGATGTCGTTTTTGTATAATCATAAATGTTAACTTTGGTGGTGGCAGATTTTCAGATTTGTAATACTTTTCAAGAGCCACAAGTAAGGGTTCCAATTCATCTGTTATAACGGTTTCGAACTGCGTTTCTCCAACGCCATCTCGATAGAAGATGATTTGATCTGGAAGTGGACCTCCTCTAACTTTACGTTGTTCAAATAATTCCAAAACCATTTCATTAAGGTTCTCTATAATATCAACGTCGTGTCTTAACTTTTCATTCATACGATAACGGCAGGAATATTCTGTTAGGTTGTCATTCATTGAACCACAAACTGCAGGAACACTAGGTCGGCCTTTTTTCTTATCTTCTTTGCTTGGATGATAAACATCAGCAGCGAATACCATATGCTAATATAATATAAAGATAAATTTAATATGTTGTTTAAATATATTTTAAATAAATTTTGAATAAATTTCGAGTAAAATGAATAAAAAAATTCTTACAGCTCTTTCTGCCTTGAAATCAAGTAAACCATCGGCCAAACGAGAATTTTTGCCTTGGAGTTTACCATTTATTTTCAAAGCCATATTGTTAAAAACTTGTCTTAATCTACGATTTTCTTTAAGGCACTTAGTAAGAACGCATTGGTTCATAATGCCTAATTCTAAATAGCAAATCCTCTTTATTTTTGCGTATAAACAATCTTCTTCTTGTTGCTTTTTTGGAATAATACATATAATTAATTGGATTGGTTTTGAAGAATCTATTATAGCATCTTGAGCGGCTTTCACTATAGCCTATAAAGCATAAATTATATAATACTAAAAATCAATTCACAATTCAGAATAAAATTAGCATATGCAATGCTTTATTACATACTTTTTTATAATCTTGGCAATTATGCAGTGAGATCTTTGGCATATGTGGTACATTCTAAAAATGAATGATATATATTAAATTGTTTCTATCAAAATAATAATAATAATTAGAGGTCCAATCTGGATAAATCCGTCATCCATTTATCCATATCTGAATTTATCCGGATATCCATTTACTATTGGTATCCGGATAATCCGACAAATATTCAGATAATTATCCAGATATCAATAGTAAAACGGATATCCGAATAAATTCAGATCTGGATATCCAATAGATAAATGGATAAATGAATAATGGATAGGAACTCTAATCTGTTGGATTAAAAGATTTATTTGAAGTAGGTCTTGAGGTAGCAGAACTAGTAGTGATATATGAGTTTTGTTAAATAGGCTTCATATATCTTCAAAGCTGAGTAGGCAGACAATTTGTACAAAGTTAAGACAGTATATAATTGTTCAAGTACAATTGTAAGGGTCATTAGTTACAAAGTCTAGATTGCAGATAAAATCTAGAGCAAGTTTTGCTTTAAGTTTCAGGTATATTTAGTCTTTATTATACTTGTTAATGAAGTGAATGTTGTGTGTTCTTTTGTATTTTTCAATCACTATTTATAGAAGTGAATTAAATTCCTTTTGATATTGGGGCTAAACTTCTTTGTTTTTTGTAAAGGACTTGAGAATGCTAAGTTAAAGTATTCGAACTTTGTTTTAATTGCTTAAAGTAAGTTATACTATGTTGGGTTGTTTTGAATTTTGTGGGTGAAAAATTATTAAAGTGTTTTCTTAAATAAAAAGGCTTCTATAATTATATTATTGTGCTATGTTATCAAGTCAAAATTGATAGTGTGGGCTTTGACCAAAGCTACGGCTACCAAGTTGTATTAGGTAAGTGAACAATCTTCTTTTCGATTGTGTTTAGAAAGATTAGAGATAAGAACCTTGCTATATAACTTCTTTGAGGATACAATTAATTCTATTGTAGCATTGGATTGGGTATCTATTTTGTCTTTAAGGTCTATACTTGCTTGGGTTTGTTGTAAAGAAGTATTGAGCTTTGGTGTTTGTTAGTCCAGATTTTAAAGATTAGCTTGAATTAGATTAGGGAGTAGATCAGATACCTTGGGGTAGTCTATAGTTATTGTTGTGGTCTGGGGCATAGTGGTTTGTATATAATTTCCTATGCTTGTTTGTTTATTTGAGTTATGTAAATCTGTTGTGATATCGTAGGCTAGGTTCTAGTGCAGGGTTTTATGTTAGTTTCCATATTGGTTTGTATGTTTTGGTAAGTTTCTACACTTTTTTGTTTGTTCTGTTACAATGATGTCATTGTTGTATTTGTCAGAGGTTCACTGGATTGCCCACTTTGAAATAGTGATTTGATAGTAAAAAATGGTGCTGGTGGAAAAAAGTGGTTTACTATCATGGTATTAATATTACTGTTTGTTGTGGTTCTTTTCTTTTTTAACAGAGGGAGGTTGTTAGGAGTATTGGCTTTATTGTAACTGTCTGAGGTCCCTGTAGGATCTATCAGAGACGTGTTCTGTCTATTGAGAGGAATAAAGAATAGTTCAAACACTTCTGAAGTAGTGAGGAGTGTATTTCTATCTCTTTTTAATTCATTTGTAGTTATTACAAGGTTGCTTGAGTATATTAAATATTGTATATATTCTAAATTTACTTTAGTTATGAGCAATTTTTGTATATAAAATTTTCTTTTCCACTTATTTGTTTTGTTTACTATATTTTTAGGATCTATGAGAAAAAGTTTTACTAATAAAATTTTAAATTGTATTTATTATTTTTTTATATAAATAAAATCATTAAACATTATTTATATCTTTATAAAATAGCATTAGGTTCATTAATAAGTACTAGTATTTAACAAGAAAATATTAATTTACTGCATGAAAACACTGAACTTTTTCAAAAAAATATTGCTTTATGTTTAGATCATGATAAACTAATCAAACAGAATAGAGGGTGTGGCGACCTAGTGAAGTGGTGGGGTTGCTGCACCCCCAAGCGGCAGGTCTAGAGTTCGAATCCCACGGAC